CTCCAGCAAAGAGTATAGTAGCAGAAAAACAGTACAAGAAATTATGAAAAAAGGTTTATATTTTCGACATCTTTTTTTTCCTCATATCTTGGACGCAATAGCAATCAGAAAAATTAGCCAATTTTTGTTCGAACCTATATAGACATACATATGTAATTGCAGAGTTATTATACAAGAAAACAGTGAGGAAAGAAGTAACCAGAGCATATCATTTCTCTGGTGCAAAGAATAAAGTGGTTGGAAAATAGTGGGATAAAAGGAATTTAAAAAAAACAACTATGCTTTTGGTAATAATAACAAACAGAAAGAATCAGCTACTTTGGTAACCAGTTAGTACATCATATACCATCCTCTTCTACTAAATGTAACTGTGCTTCATTAGTGTGATTATACACTTCCACAGATATGAGAAGCTACTATTGCTCAGGTACCACAGAAAAGACTTCTAGTGTAAAAGGTGATGAATAGCTAGCCATCAAGAGACAACAATCATCTAATATCTTTTTTTTTAAATAACAATCATCTAATATCTACCTGCTGATTTTATTGTTCCATTGATAAAAATAAGAATAGGATGTGTAAATATGAAATGTGGAAAAAGAAAAGGCACCTCAATAAATCCTCTTCCATTCACTGTTGGTATGGTGCAAGAGAAACTAACACACTGGAGATCATCATGCTCCTTGGAACCATCATCACCATCTAATAGCTCATGAATATCTTCCTGAACCAGATACGTCCCTTCTACTGCACATAGTAACCTGTTTAGAAATTTGAAAGGATATAAGAGAATGTTAGCCAAGTGCTAATTACGGATATATAGATATGTGTATACATATACATATATATAACAATAGTTTAGCACTTTTTCCAGATGAACTTGAGTATTACGGATATATAAATATGTGTATATATATACATATATATAACAATAGTTTCACACTTTTTCCAGATGAACTTGAGTATTGGAAATCATGCCGATAAATTTGGAAGAAATAATCCACATGGACAACTAACTAATACCTCGTAGCAGGCCAACACAAATTGATGCCTTTCACTGAAAACTGAGCTCTCTCAGATGCAGATATCGCAATTGGTTTGACACTTAAAATTTTACTGTAGCTGTTACTTGTAAGAGGTAAGGATGTGTCTACAACAACCTGGCCTGCAACATAAGAGAATCAGTAAACAAACTTTGGAACAGGAGTTCTGATTCTCAACTATTTTACTCATACAAACATAAAGAACAGAGGGATAAAAATACAAAAACCAAAGCCCACAAACCATTATGAATAAATGCAATCTGATGCTGCACTCTAATGAAAAACCAGCCAGCTGTCCAGAACGTGTTATCTGAGAGATCTAGAAGCCTACTCAAACTGAAACTGAGATCACTGCACAGCTGTAAAGAATGCAAGCAAGACTCTGTAGATAGAAGTTTAGCATGATAAAGTTAAGACCTGAATGTGCATGGAAATTCACATTCAGTTTCATTTACGCCAATCTTACTTCTCCCATG